GATTTAGCTCAGCGGCAAAAGCGCCTGCCTGGCAAGCGCAAGGTCGTGAGTTCGGTTCCCGGTACCGGAGGAAAAAAAAAAACAAAAAAAAATAATCATACTAAAGAGAAAGAGAGAACCAAACTAATGTTCTTAGAAATGAAAACAGACTTTGCCAAGATCCAGAAGATTATTAGTAACTATTCTGAGAATCTGTACTCTAATAAAATGAGAATTAAGAAGAAATGGATAGATTCCTAGATATCTATGAACTACTAAAGCTGAACCTGACGTTATAAAAGCCCTGAGTAATCAAATATCAGGCAATGAGACTGAATTGATAAAAAGAAAAAAAAAAAAAAAACTACCTCCTAAGAAAAGACCAAGTTCTGTTGGATTCATCGCTTAGTGCTGTAGGAACTTCAAGGAACATTTAATACCAATACTCCTCAAACTCTTTAATAAAACTGACTGAGAAGGAGCACTCCCAAAGTTATTCCTGGAAGCTAGCATTACCCAGATTTAAAACAAGGAATCAATGAAAAAAAGACAACTACTGGCCAATTTCTTTTATGAACATAGACGTGAAAATCCTCAACAAGTTATAGTACTGGCAAACACAATGCAACAAATCATCTGAAAGATCGTATGATAAAACCAAGCATGCTTCATCCTAGGGATGCAGGGATGGTTCAACATACACAAATCCAAAATTGTAATATATCACATTGATATGGGAAAGGGAATCAAATCTATGCCGTTTTGTACTTGAGTGCCATTTTAAAACCTAAGTTTCTGTTTCCTTAAGTTTTTTCTTGTAAATGTTGTCCTAGTTACCTAACCTGATACCACCCGATGCTTTGTCGTAGGACAGCCTGCTCCCTACGTAAAAGTCAAACACCTTTGTTCCTTTGTCGCAAGTTAAGCCCATGCTTTGTAAGAGTATTTCTATGGGTACACCAAATCATATCAGCACTCCCTAGACCTGGAACTAGACCTGGACTCGAACTCTGTAACTATTCTCCCCTCC